TGGAGGTCGCTGTGAGCTGTGATGCCACTGCACTCTACCCAGGGGGACAGCTTGAGGCTCTGTCTCCAAAAAAAAGGACTCAGTGCAGCCTCCCAACTCCTAGGCTCAAGTAGTCCTCTTTTCTTTTTTTTTTTTTTTGGAGACATTTTCACTTTGTCGCCCATGACATCATAGCTCATGGCAACCTCTACTGGGTTCAAGCAATTCTCTTGCCTCAGCCTCCCAAGTAGCTGGGACTACAGGCGCCAACCACAATGCCTAGCTATTTTTAAGAGATGAGGTCTTGCTCTGGCTCAGGCTGGTCTCAAACCTGTGAGCTCAAGCAATACACAGCCTTGGCTTTCCAAGCCCTGGGATTACAGGCATGAGCCACCATGCCCTCTCAAGATGTCCTTAAGCCTCTGCCTGCCATACTGCTGAGATTATAGGTCTGAGCCCCCCCCTTGAGCAGTTTTCTACAAATTTTTTTTTTTTTTGGAGACAGGGTCTCAAGCTACAGTCCAATGGTGTCATAGCTCACAGCAACCTCTAACACTTGGGTTCAAACAATCCTCTTGCTTCAGTTTTTCTACTTTTAGTAGAGATTGTAGTGGGGGGCGGGGGGGGGGAATGTCTTGCTCAGGCTGGTCTTGAACTTCTGAGCTCAAGCAATCCACTGACTTCAGCCTCCCAAAGTGCTAGGATTACAGGCATAAGCCACCATGCCCAGCCATCTATAAATTCTTAAGTGAACCAAACAACACCTTGGGCTGGACCAGAGTAGTGGTTCTAGTTCTGTGGTCCTCTATCTCTGGTACTAAAACACAGTACCAAAGGCTCAGCACCAGTAGCTTAGTGATTAGGGTGCCAGCTACATACACTGGGGCTAGCAGGTTTGAACCCAGCCTGGGCCAGATTAAAAACAATGACAACTGGGCACCGCCTGTGGCTCAAACGAGTGGGGCACCAGCCCCATATGCCAGAGGTGGTGGGTTCAAACCCAGCCCCAGCCAAAAACTACAAAAAAAAAAAAAGAAAAACAATGACAACTGCAACAAAAAAATAGCTGGGCTTTGTGGCAGGCACCTGTAGTCCCAGCTACTTGGGAGGCTGAGGCAAGAGAACTGCTTAAGCCCAAGAGGTTGAGGTTGATGTGAGCTGTGATGCCATAGCACCCTACTGAGGGCGACATAGTGAGACTCTGTCTATATAAATAAATAGAGGCTTGGACTAGCAAATACTCAGTAAATAGAAGAGAATAAGTACAAGTCTAGACTCCATGCCTATAGCTCAGAGGCTAGAGCACCAGCCACATACGCTGGAGCTAGCAGGTTTGAACCTGGCCAGGGCCTGCTAAACAATGACCACTGCAACCAAAAAAAAAAAACAAAAAACTGGGCATTATAGCAGGCATCTGTAGTTCCAGCTACTCAGGAGGCTGAGGCAAGAGAATCACCTAAGCCCAGGAGTTGAAGGTTTCTGTGAGCTGTGATGTCACGGCACTCTACTGAGAACGATAAAATGAGACTCTGTCTCAAAAAAAAGAGAAAGAAACACTAAAGGAAGCAACTGCAGAAAACAAATCTCCAGAAGGAAAGAAATTTCCTGGAAGGAAGAAACTGCATTACTCATCTTTGTAAACCAAGCTCTTGAGATTTAAACAGCTGTTTAGTGTATTCAGTAACAGACCACACCTAAACTTGCAGGGGGTAGAGAAGGAGAGGAACTGACACTACTCTAAACATTTCACATATATTGTCTAAATTAATTCTTTCTGTCATTTAAAGATTGCTATCCCCCCTCCTTAACTGGCTGGGGCCGGGCTTGAACCCGCCACCCTCGGTATGTGGGGCCAGCGCCCTACTCCTTGAGCCACAGGAGTCCCCTACTATGCCCTTTTACAGATGATAAAACTGAGACTCAAATATGTTGATTAATTTATACTATTCTGTTTAGCTCTAAAACTGTTTTTTGTTTGTTTGTTTGTTTTGTTTTTGAGACAGAGCCTCAAGCTATGCCCCTGGGTAGAGTGCTGTGGCATCACAGCACACAGCAGCCTCCAACTCTTGGGCTCAAGCCAGTCTCCTGCCTCAGCCTCCCAAGTAGCTGGGACCACAGGCGCCCGCCACAACGCCCGGCTATTTTTTTTTTTTTTTTTTTGGTTTCAGCCGTCGTTGTTTGGCGGGTCCGGGCTGGGGATTCAAACCTGCCACCTTAGGTGTATGTGGCTGTCGCCTTAGCCGGTTGAGCCACAGGCGCCGAGCCTAAAACTGTGTTTTTTTATGCCCCCATGGTTATAATCTGGTTTATGCCCGAAGTGGGAGCTAAGATTCAATTTTAACCCCAGTACTAAGAGAAGGACCTAAATTTGGACTCAGAACTTTGATAGCCGTCATCCTTTTCTTTACGTCTTTTTTTTTTTTTTTTTTTTTGATACCAGGAATCTCACTCTGTTGCCCTGGATAGAGTGCCCTGGCATCATAGCTCAAACTCTTGGGCTTAAGCCATCCTCTTACCTCAGCCTTCCAAGTAGATGGGACCACAAGCGCTCGCCACAACGCCGGGCTATATTTTTTGGTTGCAGCCGTCATTGTTGTTTGGCGGGCCCAGGCTGGATTCGAACCCTCCACGTTAGGTGTAGGTGGCTGGTGCCTTTAGCCACTTGAGCCACAGGCGCCGAGC